TGTTTTTCTTTTTTTACTTAACATGTTTGTTCATCAAGGTTATTGATCTCTTGGCGCCATATGTAAAGGGAGGGAAAATCGGTTTGTTCGGAGGTGCTGGTGTAGGGAAGACAGTACTCATCATGGAGTTAATCAACAACGTCGCTAAGAAACATGGAGGGTATTCCGTTTTTGTAGGCGCTGGTGAGCGTACTCGAGAAGGTAACGACCTATACATGGAAATGATTGAGTCCAAGGTGATTTCAATAGAGGATGACAGTTCAAAAGTGGCTCTGGTATATGGACAAATGAATGAACCACCCGGAGCACGATCGCGTGTCGTATTAACTGGCCTTACCTTAGCCGAATATTTCCGCGACATGGATGGCCAAGACGTGCTGCTATTTATTGATAATATTTACCGTTTTACTCAGGCGGGTGCTGAAGTTTCTGCTTTACTGGGACGCATACCGTCCGCTGTTGGGTATCAACCAACCTTGGGTACAGACATGGGTGAGAAGCGACGCTCTTTCATAAAAAAATATTTGCGGACATCATCTTAACTTTACTAGGTTCCATGCAAGAACGTATTACTAGTACGAAGAACGGGTCTATTACTTCCGTACAAGCCGTGTATGTGCCAGCTGATGATCTCACTGATCCAGCACCCGCTGCTACCTTTGCACACTTGGATGCCACTACAGTATTGTCACGAGCTATTGCCGAGTTAGGAATTTACCCTGCAGTGGATCCTCTAGATTCCTCTTCACGGATAATGGATCCATCCATAGTAGGCGATGATCACTATAATGTAGCTAGAGGAGTACAAAAGACACTACAATCATATAAATCCCTACAGGTTCTTAAGGAATTTGTTTATTTGAGTTTGCTACTAAAGCCGTTTGTTATAGGATATCATTGCCATTCTTGGAATGGATGAACTCTCTGAAGATGATAAGTTAACTGTAGCTCGGGCACGCAAAATTCAACGTTTTCTATCACAACCATTCCAAGTCGCAGAAGTTTTTACGGGACATTCAGGGAAAATGGTATCCATTGCAAAAACTGTAGAAGGTTTCAAACGCCTTCTCGATGGAGAGTTGGATGAATTGCCGGAAATTGCCTTTTATATGGTCGGGGATATAAATGATGCTATCGAAAAAGCCAAAAACTTGGCAATGACAATGTCCATGGAAAAATAAAAAGATGTAATTGGAATTCGGTTGTTTTGAGAGGCGAAAATTACCATAATCTTACCTTTATATAGAAAGGCAATAACTCATTATCTTTCCAAATTTGGCTTTGTGCAATGGTCGGTAGATTACTCATTAAAGGCCTAATAGAATTTAAAACAACCGCATACATCAATAAACTAGTGTTCGTATTTATTAAACGCAGGATTTTAAAGAAATTCCAACTTCAGAACTTTAGTTTTTTTATTCAGATTTTTGACTACTCTGTAAAAACATAAACATTTTAGATAGGGTCTTTTTATATTAAGGCAACGATATGTACATACTAGGCATTCGATTACTCGAGTAAGTTCATTCGTTCCATTAATCAATTACTTGTGTAACCAAGATTTTGATTACTGAAAAGGACTATTATTCAAGTTACTTTGATTTGATTTGATTCCTTAAAAAATTAATTTTGTTCATTTGCTTTGGAAAATGCTTATTTTTTTTTAATTGTGTATATGAAAAAACTAATTCATTTTATATACAAAAAAGAAGGCGTTTCAAAAAAAAAAACTTTTTAATTAAAAAGCAGATTTTTTGACAGTAGCTCAATTGTGAAAAATTCGAAGCGCGTAGAAAGAGCAATTTATATCACAAATTTGGGATTATGAATCAAATAACTATGGT